GCATGGCATCATTCGGACAATTACTGAACCGCTTATGAGCACCTTACAGACTAGGTTACAGTTTGAGTTGAGTGTGCAAAATGTTTTTGCAACTCTAAAAGAGTCCAAACAAACATCTGCATGTACACATCATGCATTTGAACATTTGTTTTCTGGCCTGAGAGCAAGTCAGAGCTGCTTTCCTGCACATTTGTGATACAGTTATTATTGATTTATCATTAATTTCATGTTGTCGAACTCCACACCAGGTTAAGTCACAGAATTACAGGCTGACTACCCCTTACCCAAAATACTGGGAGCCAGAAGCATTTTGCATTTCAGATTTTTTTTTTAATGTTTGGAATAACTGTATTACGTACTATAGACATAATGAAATATCTTGGGAGATGGGACCCAAGTCTTAATATTAAATTTGTTTATGTTCCATCTACACCATGGACACAGAGCCTGAAAGTAATTTTATACAATATTTTAAATAATTGTGTGCATAAAGCAAACACTGTGTACTTCCAAACATATGAAAGCAAATATATAACTATCTCAGTCACTCACGTGGACAATTTTGAAAGTCCCAATAAGGGATGCTCAACCTGTTGTGTTATGTTGTGATAACGCCTCCAGCAACATACCACCAAGACAAGACATTTTCTGACTTATAAGGACTTCCACTGGTTGTAAGATCTCTTTACATACTAAAGATCATTACTGCAGTGTGGGATGATATGGCCCTCCGGATGGTGAATTCCATCTGGCAGAAGCGTCGGCCAGCAGAGCCAATGGTGAGAAAATTGCAGCTTTCTCTCGGTACCACTGCTTGATGAGAACATATGAGAGGGCGCTTTAAAATGCTCCCTCTCATTAATTTGGTTTGATATAGTTTTAACATTGCTTTTATACTCTGCTGTTTTAATTGTGTTATTATTGGACTGTTATTATGTTTTTAACTGTGCTTTTGCTCGTGAATTTTGTTGTATGTTCTGGGCCTGGCCCCCCTTGTAAGCTGCACCGAGTCTCTTTGGAGAGATGGTGGTGGGGTATAAATATAAAGTTGTTGTTATACTTTAAACTGCTGTTTTTAATACGATAATTATCACTGAGTAATCCTTTTTAATTACAATTTTTTTTGTATTAGCCGTGGCTTTGTTTCAGCCTATGCTGTGAACTGGCATGGGTTCTATATTGAGCATAAAAATGATAGCAATAAAATAAGAACAATATGGTTTTACCATGTCCATAGTGAGTTGTGATCACTTCCTACCCACATATAGTTAACTAGTTTATTGTGCTCTTGTAGTGTGCCTTCAAATAATTTCTGACTTACACGGACCCTAAGGCAAACATATGACAGCATTTTCTTGGCAAAATATTTTCACACAGGGGTTAGTACTGCTTTCCTCCAATGGTGAGAGTATGACTCTGCCTAAGGTCACCCTCTGGGTTTCAATGACCAAGTGGGATTGATTTATTTATTAAGAGCATTTCTATCCCGCCTGTCTCACCTCCAAAGAGGGACTCAGGATAGCTACCAGCAGGCACCATTCAGTGCCAAACAATATACAACATACATTTATACTACATTAAAAACAATTATAAATACATTAAAACAATACGCCATTTCATGTCATCCTCCAAATCAATCCATAGCCGTAAGTTCAAACAGTCCCCTAAAACCATCATCAATCCATTGCTGTCAACTAAAAACAGTCCGTTAAAACTATATATGGTATGAACACTTGATCCCATAACCAGGGTTTGGTCTTTTTCCAGAAGGTCATGAGGGAGGGGACAGATCTAATCTCGTTAGGGTGTTCCACAGCTGAGGGGCCACCACCGAGAAGGCCCTGTCTCTCGTTTCCACCAACGTGATTGTGATGGCGGTGGTACTGAAAGCAGGGTTTCTCCAGACGATCTTAACGTCCTTGGGGGTTCGTAGAGGGAAATACGTTCAGACAAGTAAGCTGGGCCAGAGCCGTTTAGGGTTTTTTAGGTCAAGGCTAGCACTTTGAATTGTGCTTGGAAGCTAATAGGCAGCCAGTAGAGCTGACGTAACAGGGGGGTTGTATGCTCCCTGTACCCCGCCCCTGCGAGCAGCCTGCCCCGCTACCCTGGTCTTCAGTCATAGTCCAACACTCAAATGACTACATCGCATTGACTCACAGTAACAATAAATCCTTTCTGAAAATTTCTAAATCAGTAATTTTATTAGAAGTCGTAACTTTGAAGAAGTCATGAACTTTGAAGAGGAAAAAACAATGAAGACAATAAGAGAGTTGGTGGGTGCAATACCTTATTAATCAGCAAGACTTAAACAATTTGATCTCCAGAGTCGTAGTTGAATGCTTGAACCATGTTGGCTTTCCTTATGATTTGTAAAATCATAAATGAGGGCATTTTCTCATAAATGATCCACTGGCCATGCTAATATGTAGCCGGGGGGGGGGGGGGGGGTGGGGGGGGTGGGGGGGTGGGCGGGGGGGGGGGGGGGGGGGGGGGGGGGGGGGGGGGCGGGGGGGGGGCAGGGAGAGGTCAGAGTCCCAAAACAGAGAATTAACATTGACCAACTACAGGCTACAACATTTTGAATCTTAGCTATATCATATAATTATTTTCTGTGAATTTGCTGCAATGAGAAATTATGAAATCATTCCGTAAACTAGGAAGGTGGCGGAAAAGCATTGCTACACCATGTTGGGTTACTTCCTTATTTCATAAAAACAGATCTTTCAAAACATCGCATTGTTTGTTTGCTAGTGAGTTGTGCAAGTCTTATGCAAACCTCCCATAAGATTGCTAAATTGCTGCACCTAAGCATAAAGTACAATATACGTAGATGTCTCAATCTCTTGAGAAGGGAGTATTTGGGGAAATTTTTCTTCTAAAGATGGAGACCTTAGGTGTTTATACACCCCAGCTCACACTTTCTCCACCCAACTGTAACATAAAGGACATTTGTGGGGAAAAATCAAGTCAGTGTTAAACCCCCCTATAGATACATCTCAAGAAAAACCTATAATAGGTTCATCTTACCGTTGCCCTAAATTGGAAGGTGCACAAGTACAGAAATACCTTATGGTAGTGTGCATAAAATATTTGAGTCCAACATTGCTCCTTAATTCCTAGTTTAATTTTAATGCTGAGTGAAAAAACAAAAAGATCCATTCTTTAACATTCCATAAATCAGCTTTAAAAAAGCATTTTGATGTCAGAAACTAGCTTATTATTGTGCTTGTTTTGAAAACCACCAGTTCACATTTAAATAGGTGCTCTAAACTGCAGCACTGATATTTAGATTGTATTACTACCAGCTATTTAGTAAAATAGTTATTCTAACCATCCCACTAAACTAAGTCTATTCTGGTTTTCACATTAAGCTTTCCCATTCTTTTCACTTTCCCAAATGCGTAAAAGCTTTAGCATTGACTCTATAGGAAAGTGTTATCTAGAAACGTAATGTTTTTTGTAAGACGATGGCCAGGTTTATATACCAAAGCTTGCATGGTGTAGCGGTTTGAGTGCTCAACTAGGACACTGAGTTCAGTTCCGTTTGGCCAGTGGAAATTCTCTAGGTAACTAGCCAAGTCAGGAATGGCAATGGCCATTCTGAACAAATGTTGCCAAGAAAACTTCACATTAGGTTTGTTCCAAATCAGAATGGCTTGAAGGCACTCATCAACAAGACGTGGTCTATATTTAGCACACAGTGGGCATGATTAACATGATTAAATGTGGAAGGCTCAAATCTATTCCATTAGTGTTTAAATGAGTATCGCAAAGAGACAGTCAAATGGTAGTCCAGCCTCAAAACAAATCCTTTATCCAGTTTGAATTCTATAACAACATATTTTAGTGAAGACAGATGCATATCAAGGAAAAAGAGTGATTTCCCCAAATGACAGTCTTATAAGTGGCCTTGACAATACCTCCTTCAAAAGAGTTAACACTATGATTGGTGTTATTGGTGTCATGCTGCAATAAACACAAATGTTCCATAATTGCAAATCCCTTAAAAGATAAGTAACTATATTATAGGGCCAGGCCCCTCCCCACATATTTGACTAAGCACACTACCAGTAAGTCTGGTCTCTAAAGAAAGGCTAAACCAGATATTGAAAAAGGATTTTTACCCTTAAAAAGCTGTATATATGTTAATAATTTTCAAAGCAGCCATGTTAGTCTCTTGCAGCATAAAAAAGAGGGCGGCCGGGGGGG